CTATGGTCAACAAGGCTAGTCAGTTCATCACTTCATAAAATTGGATACTTGCCCCTTAATTGGGTACTTGCCCCCCTTAATTGGGTACCTGCCCCTTAATTGGGTACTTGCCCTCCTTAACCTGTTCCGGTGTGTCTGATTAACATTGTGACTATAATTTGTATAACTATCTTGTAACTAATAAAAACTATATAAACTAATGTATTGTTTGTACTATGTATATATAATAGGGAGTTTAATGGAAGACATAGGACAGAGCTGTCAGGATTATGTCTAGTTGGCAAATATGTTTATTGAAATGGTAATTACTTATCTATTTACATGATAATTTCCGATAAAAGGTTTTGATGATACAATAAAAGCAGGTACTGTAAATATAGTTCGTTCCTCTCTCTCATTCCCTTCCTTCATCCTGTCTTCTCCCCCTCTCTCGCCTTCTCATCTCATCTCACCTCTCTCCCTCCCTTCCTGTCCCTATTCTGGCTTCCTGACACACCACACACTCTCTCTCTCTCTCTCTCTCGTTCACTGCCACAATTGCCCCTTTCTCTCTATCCTAAATAGTAAACCCCTTAAATAAGAAATTATCATACCCTAATCCCCTTAAATAAGAGCCCTTTACCTTAAAATCCCTTAAATAAGAACCCTTTACCATAAAAGCCCTTTATTCTACCTTAAAACCGCTTAAATAAGAGCATTTTATTCTATTCTAAAGTCTCTTAAATTAGAACCCTCTTTAGCCTAATTAAAACCCATTTAAGTCATACAAATCCTTTTTATTTTAGCTTTAACTCTATGTTGTGATGACGTCAAGTGACCAGTGGGGTCAAATTACCATTATTTTTTGTTTCTTACGACATTTCTATTTATGAATTATGGCATTAATGTGATTTCTTTTAAGTTACTTATGTTAACTTTATTGTTATTTATTTCATCTGGAATTATATGTGATTAAATCGATTTATTTTTAACCATTGTATAAGAACATAAGAAAATAAGGAGTCTGCAATAGGCTGGTTGACCTGTGCATGGCAGCTCCTGTCGAGAGTTACTACCACTCTCTATCATCCATGAATCTATCTAGCCTCCTTTTGAAACTTTCCAGAGTTCCTGCACTTACTACAAAGTTGCTAAGCTTGTTCCACTCGTCCACCACCCTATTTGTGAACCAGTTCCTTCCTATCTTCCTCCTAAACCTAAACTTATCCAACTTAAATCCGTTGCTCCGAGTCCTATCCTGCTCGGATATTATAAGAACTTTATCTATATCCCCTTTATTGATTCCTTTCACCCACTTAAATACTTCTATCATATCTCCCCGCACTCTTCACCTTTCTAGGGAATGCAAGTTAAGTTTCTTTAACCTATCCTGATATGGAAGGTTTCTAAGTCCCGGAATAATTTTCGTCATTCTTCACTGCACCGACTCTAGTGAATTGATATCCATTCTATAATAAGGGCACCAGAACTGAGCCCCATAATGGAGGTGCGGCCTGTGTATGGACTATATGTGATGATCAAATACTAACTTGTTTGATATTTTTCCTGAATATCTCTAATAATCTTTCTTTAATTGATCGTATATGTCAGGCACACTATGGCAATCAACAGAGCTCATTACCCAACACTCTCACACGGTCCACAACCTATTACAAAGCTCCGCCCCTGCTGAGCTGTAAGCTAACTGTTGCTCTAAATTTATTCTAATCTTGTTCCTTTGGTAACTAATGTCTCGTGGCGTGTCTTTAATAAAGCACCTTGGCGGAAAAAATCAAGGCTTCTTTGGTGTTATAGATGATTTTAAATGAAGTTACGATCTTGCGTTGCTTCTAAGCCTTAAATTAAGCGCCATAACAGAGTCGAGGCGTGTTTGGTATAATGATTAATTTTAATGCAACTACAATCATTGATTGTCTTAAGCGCCGTAAGAAGAGTCGGGGCTTCTGTGGTATAATGGTGTCAGAGGAAGGTTAACAGTGGGGGTTCCAGAAGGCTCGAGACCTGTGACATAACGCTTGGAGTTAATGGAGGGTACCTCGGCAGTGAAGCCAACCCTTCCACGAATATCCAGCGTCGGGAAAGGATAGTAGGAGGAAGGAGGAGGGGGTGGATAGGTGGGAGGGAGGGACTTACCCACCCCGTGTGCAGCGGAGCGGAGACGACCCTCTTTTTTAAAGCCAGTGAGCAGGCCGCCAGCACACAAAGGATGCACGAGGCTCTGACACACCACAGGGAATACCACTCTTTTATATATATACAGTATACATATATTGCACCAGAAGGCAAAATCTACATTACCCGCTGTTGAGAGTTATTAACATTGGTCTGAAAGCTAACATGTCGCCATTGTTTCAAGGGGACACATGTGGAATGAGAATACCGGTCTTTATATCTGTACATTGCATCAGAAGGGAATATGAATCACCTGAAGATTAGACACCCAAATTTAAATTTTACGTGATGATTAAACACCCTAGTGTTAATCATAACCGACTCTAATTAACGTAAACCCTCCAGGTAGTAGTAGTAAGGTGTTTAACCCTCAGGTAAAAAGCTGGGGTGCTTAATCTTGAGGTAATCCGGTAATATTTACACTAACCACTTAGAACCAGCTTGGGAGCTTACGTGTTGGTCGACATGTTTAAGACGACAGCAATGAAAATGTACTCTTCTTTTATCATCTTTACCGTCTTTCTTGTGCTCTCCTTGGTTAATCATTAAATATTTATAATTGTAAATCTGCACTGTGTATGAATGCGATGAACCAATGTGAACTTATATGACGATCTTACTGAATATAATTGTAATCTATATATTGATGTCAAGTTCTTTCCATTACGTAACGTCAGTCCAAAGTTGCTAGTCTAAGCGCTGTTGGTGACTTGTGAGGGCATTATAAGCGCAGTTGGTGACTTGTGAGGGCATTGTAAGCGCTGTTGGTGACTTGTGAGGGCATTAAAAGCGCTGTTGGTGACTTGTGAGGGCATTAAAAGCGCTGTTGGTGACTTGTGAGGGCATTAAAAGCGCTGTTGGTGACTTGTGAGGGCATTAAAAGCGCTGTTGGTGACTTGTGAGGGCATTAAAAGCGCTGTTGGTGACTTGTGAGGGCATTAAAAGCGCTGTTGGTGACTTGTGAGGGCATTAAAAGCGTTGTTGGTGACTTGTGAGGGCATTATAAGCGCTGTTGGTGACATGTGAGGGCATTAAAAGGATTATATGAGACATTAAACCATTTTAAGTGTTTGGAGAGTATTTCAATGGGTCCTGGTGACTTGTGAGATATTTGATAAGATCTTAAGAGTTTCCTGTGACTGTGAGAATGGAGAAAGTATTAATGGTTGACTGGTCACTTACGAGTTATGTGAGTAAGTTGAGAACGTTTTCAAGAGTCGCTGGTGACTTGTGAGGGACAAGGGTGGTCCGGGGTCACACACACACACCGGATGTTACCCTTAGTTTCCCGGCGTCGTTCTAACCTGACAACTTGGCCAACATACCCCACGGCGTCTCCTCTTTCTGTTTTCCCTCTTACTCCTTTTGTATACTTTTCTTGTTATCTATAGAGGTGGAATTCTTTAGGGTAGGGAATTATATTTGTTTTGTGTGACAAGGTAGACTGTCAGCTGCAGAGAGTAAGGTTAGTGGTGGTATAACTGACAGCATCTTCCTCGGTTCAGTACACAGCCATGGCATCAGGTGGTAGGCGGTGGTGAGAACCTTCCAAAATGATGGCAAGATTTTCCATTACTACCTAATTTATTACCAATTTGCATATTATAATATCATAATCAATTAGTAAAAAATGAGGCTAGATTTATTAAGTGTCTGTAGATTCGTTTATTAATAATCGCAATGTGATATTAAGTGTAGAAAGTTTCTGGAAATTATTAGCCGCGGGTGGCGAGTTGTGGTCAAACCGCGTCTCCATAACTCCTATAACAAAGACTACAGATCAAGCCTCATAAGTGACACGGTTACCTGCAACATATAATGCATTGTATAGGAATCCATTTAAATAAAGAGTGAAATACAAGTGGGTTTTAATATAAAGATATAACTCTAGTGGTGGTGTAGGAGGATGACCTCGAGACAATGAATGGCGTCCCTCCAACTAGTACAGTACTTCCAACTATCATTTAATCACCAGAGAATAGATTTTTCCGGATATCCCAAGCATTTCCCTCATAAACTTAAGAAATAATGTGACGTTAGAGATAGTGAGTCAATCTGCTTCCCTACAGACCAAAAACTTTCTTCCGGTGTATTTAACCTACTGTTACTATTCATATTAACCTTTTATTCTATCGTCATCATAATCATACCACCAAATACTGTTATATATTTTATGCTTAATCTATTCACACTATATGGTAAGAAAAATTAAAACAAATTTAAGAAAGTGGGTTAAGGTTGACGCACTAGTTCATGAGGCGCAGTGTTCCTACGCCGCCATGTCTGGGGAAGGATATTCTACATAGGGAATTAATGCAGGGGAAAAGGGAATATTTAAGAGACGCTTATTTTTACTATTTATTGTGTTAATAAAGTATTATTTGCTATAGTTTTTAGGTAATTCAACTATTGATAGTATAATTTATATAACTAGTGTATTTAGGAGACCATAAGGCTAAATTAATTTCATGTGGAAGAAGAGAAAAACTAATTAAGTCTTTAATTCGTCCACTTTATACTAAAAATACTATTATAAACACATATACGATATATTAAATGAGTTAGAAATCTTCAATGATAATTTTTTGGATAATATATATTTCTAGGGACAAAATTATAAATTACCTTCTAGAAACAGGACTTTATAGGGATAATAGAACAGTAACAACAAGAACTTATTTAATTTACATATATACAAACAACACAAAGCATAAAATAACCATAAATATTAAAATTCAAGTAAAAAATCAGTACCTAAAATGTAGTATCTAGGGAAATAACAATATGACGCTATAGGGGAAAATATGATAGTGGCAGGGTAATATTAAGATGGTGTTGTGTTGGTGTGTTGTGTGTCCTATACTGTGAGCCTTCCACCCAACACTCTCTCTTAAATGACACCACAATGAGCAAGGGTATAAGGAACTTGGTGTCAAAAAGAAAGAGAAGGTTTAAAGAAGATGGATATGATTTGGATCTTAGTTGTATCCTTTTTTTTTATATATGTGTGGATTAGAACTGTGTGGATATGTGAGGTGTGATTCTTAGTTACTCTAATTTTTTTTTTGATTTTTTTTTGTAAATTTTTAATACTTGATAATCTATTAAAAAACTCTTAATTAAAGATGTTATACGTGGATGATGAAGTGACAGTGTTGTGTGGTGATAGAAACTGGGATTGTGTAGTGAAAGACAGTGTTATAGTGATGGAAAAAGTGTGTAGTGATATAGTGATGATTTTTAAAGGAAGATCTTTGGCCTTGAGAGTGATTGAAACAAGCACACCTGCACGGCAACACATGTACACCTCTACATACCTGTATCTACACACACATACATAGCTTTATACACATACATACATCCTATATACACATAGCCACACCTACACACATACACTTAAGTTCTACTCATACAACTGCATATACTTATACAATTCTACAGTACACTTTAACATATAACACTACATCTAAGCACCTACAAAACAACACTATATTATATTTAATGACATCAATATAAACACACAACAATAATAAACCTACATGTACACAAACACATACACACACACACACACACCCAACACACACCCACACACACACCCACACACACACACACACACACAGCACCAGGCTTACACAAGGATCACTTTAAGGTTGACGACCCTAATGCCAACCTAACCTAACCTAACCTTACTGAATGTTAACTCGACCTATCCTAATTTAATGCTAACCTGACCTAACCTAACTCAGTACTAAGCAGACCTATCCTAACCTCAGGTAAACCTAACCTAACCTAACTCAGTACTAAGCAGACCTATCCTAACCTCAGGCAAACCTAACCTAACCTAACCTAACCTAACTCAGTACTAAGCAGACCTATCCTAACCTCAGGCAAACCTGACCTAACCTAACCTGACCTAACACTAACCTAACCTATCCTATCCACTCATTCACCCTTATACCTGCAATACACCTGTCCAATACTATAACTGTATGTCAAACAAACACCCACCACCTGCATGACACATGTTGATTACACCTACACACTCAACACCTGTATCCACTGATTGATATACCTGTAATGTTGAAGCTTTCCCTGCATACCTGTCAGGATTTAGGTTGAAATGAGTTAATGAAAAATACAAAAGTAATATACACCTAACCTGTCCGGCCTTAGCATACCATAGACAGTTTCAAGTCAGGTTAGATGAGAAATCTGGAATTTATTGCATCTTGATAATTACTTTAATTTTTCTACTATATCTACAGCATCATGTGTCAAAGAAAATAGTGAGTATTGTACTGTAATAAAGCAAAGAGAGCTTCAGTATTACCAATCATTGAGTACAAGTGTTGAACGCTGGGTGTCTGTAACAGTGTCATATAGGTATTTCTACACAGTATATTACATCCATATTTTCCTATGACATATATGTGATCATGGTCTCTTTTGGACCTTGGTATCCTGGGACCACAGAGTAATCAGATCACATGAAGACTAGCTCCCCCCCCCCCCTGCTTATTTCACCTAAATATTGACTACCCTAACACTTACTTAACCTAAACTTAACTCCCAGGTAGCTTTAGGGTGTTTAACCATCAGGTGAAATAAGCTGGTGTGGCTAAACTTCATGTGATGTGAATAATCATTTGACACACACCAAACATAACCTAACAAGGGTCCATGATCACATGTAAGAATTATACTGGTTGGACTATTCACTATTTATGTGTCTGCTACACTACATTTACACAACATACTGTATCATTAAATAACATGTACATACCTCTATACCAGTGCAAGTACCCAGGTCATGTACAGTACAGTACCTGTCATGTCTTGTGGGTGACAGTGATGGACAAACCAGTGTGGCTGCTACTACTGTTTCGTGAGTTTATCTAATAGTTGTAGTAATGATGCTATAGTGTTCCATGTACACAGTGTTAAAGTACCGTATTCAGTATTTCTATTCAGTCATACCTATATGTAAATTTTCTGTTTAGCATTGCCACTATGTCTTGATATTTATTAATGATGTCTATTTTAATATTTCTTTAAGTGTAGTCATTATATGTAAATCCTGATGGGGGGTTAAGACAAGTTTTGAAATCATCGAGGAAGAACACAACACTAACCAACCTTAACCTAGATTAAAGTATCCGAGGATTGTTGGATTATAGGTCAGGTCAGGCTAGGTTAGGTTAGGTCAGGTCAGGTCAGGCTAGGTTAGGGTCTTGTGGCCTTCATCATGATTGGATTTTAAACTCAACATATTTCTTCATTATAGCTGTAAAGTAAACATGGTGGGGAACGATCTAAACCTTTACCCATTATTATCACCTGATGAGGGAGTTCCACACATACAAGAGGCCCCTCCCCATGCAGAGTCGTATTATGGGACACTCCTTCACTTGTCAACAATCATCATTTAACCTTTTGGGGAAGTTTAGACGCTAAGGAGAGAGTTGCCACTTTATTTCTCATATTTTATTTATGGGATTTATACTAATTTGGTTTTTTTTCAATAGTTGTAATGGATATTTAGTGGGTAAAGATATGAAGGCAGGATGTTACCTTATTATTTTGAATAATTTGGAGGGCTTTATTTTGATGTTTTTCTGTTGTGTTGCATAGAATGATAGAATTGATATCCAGTGAGGGTCAGAAGGCAAGAAAAGACAGGTGCAAACTTATGAAAATACAGTACTGTATATATGTGTAAATATGTGTATGAAGTACTGTGTATGATCTCATCTGTATGCATTCAGAACGGACATTACAAGACTAATTGAGTATATTTCTGACAGCAAGCAAACTATCATCATCCGAGTTACCAAAACCGTACTGTATTACTTTATTTTTAGGTTAGGGTAGATACACGGGTTGGCTGGGCTCGTGTACAGTTGTCAGGAATATTTCGACCGTGTCATTTACAGGAAAGTTTACTGTACCTCCTGAATATCATTGTGTGCAGTATTACATAGTTACCTTACATACACTGTATAAATTAGGAAAGGTTCTGCCCCCACAAAAATTTTGAGGAATGAGTTCACACGCTCATGCTATATATGTAATACCTTTATAATGCAGTGAGGAAGGAATGAAAATATTAGTTGAACACAAGACTAAGCACCCAAATACTACCGTAACCAAACCTAACCAAACCTAACCTAACCTAACCTAACCTAACATAACCTAGGCTGTACGACCTACCTTTAATGATCACTGCCAATACATACCATTCAATCTGAGTCTATCACACCTCACCTAATGTAACCTTGTGAAGTAATATGATCTAGTTTGGTTTGATTTAATTGGGTCGTGTCACCTGTTAATTCATCAGTAACTTGTTTAACCCTCGTGCGTCTTTATAGGGACATTATTAAGACTGTGACACCATTTTATTTTATTTTTTACTTCGTCTTCTGGATTTGCAGTTTGGGCTTTGAAACAAACTTGATGGTGAAAATTTCCTTAAGATATAATGTGAGAACTTCCCTTTAATCTTAATGCATGTTGTGGGTATGGATGTGGACCCTTGCTACCTTACTAAGTGAGTGCCAGATTAATATGAGTGTGCACGCCACCACCCACAGCCATGCTACTGCTCACCCATCTAACACTGGATGTTACTTTCTAATTTCCCTAGAACTTTATAAACAAAATCAGATCAGCTGAAGATTAGGCATCCCAGCTTATATCACCTAAGGATGATTTTACACCCGAACACTAACCAAACCTGACTAAACCTTCCAGTTAACACCAGGGTGTTTAATTATCATGGTAAATAGGCTGGGGGGAGGGGTAATCTTCATGTGGTCCTAGGGAGACTATTCTCTCTACAGTACTGTACAGTAGTGTGTACAGTACCATATATTACTGTAGCTACTTGGTCTATTGGCTATACAACATATGATTTAAAATGAAGGCAGTGGTTACAGCTGTGTGGTTGGATGAAGCCTTTACACTTGGTGTCCCTGAGTTCAGGGTCCCAGCAGTGCTTGGCCTGTTATCTTGGCATTTGCCCCTGGCCCCAATTTCCTCCCACACTGCCTTACCTTAACCTAACATAACCAATTTTGTGGCTAGTCTGTGATAAAATTTATTTTTCAAATGTACAGTATACTGTACAGTACTTACCAACCTCATGCAAGTAAACCACAAGAACTACAGATATGACTTTTTATTATTTTTTTTTTTACAGAAGGTTCGGTATAACATACAGGGAGAGTACAGTAAAGGGATGATTGGTGTAGCAGTCTTACATTGTTGAGATCATGCTTCATACAGTTAATTCTGTACCTTACTAACAGATGGAACAGGTAGTTAATGATTGGTGGTAAACAATACTTGGGGTGTACTACTGTAGATGATACTGTTGAGTTTTAACCTGTAGGTACATATATGTAGCTATTGGTTTCAGGATGTACAGTACAGTATAATATTCTGTCAAGACTACAGGTATGCTGATACAACCAGTGTTTATCAATTCAGTGAAAAACTACACATACAACATCACTAATAAATCATTATAACGTACAGTACATCTAAGAGGCGCAGTGACCTGGAGTCGTATTTTCTAGTTATGTTATACTATACGGTATATTTACAGTTGGCACGTGATAGTGACGGTGATCGCCTCACGTGCATTGCGTTACTCTGTGGTAGCACTGGTTTGTCTGGGAACTTTTTGTGGCCTAAACTTAATTGTTAATATTGTACACTGGGTTGGGACTGTTTTGGTCAGCTGATGGAGTGTGTTCGGTAGGGGAGGATCGTAGTCTCATGTGTAGTAGTAGTAGTACAGTAGCTTAGGTTAGGTTAGACGAGCGTTAGGGATCTCATGAAGATTAGGAAGTCCTGCTCATTCCACCAGATGATTAATACACCCATAAGGTAACCTAACTTGACCTGACCCCTTATTTAATATTATGGTGTTTAATTCATCAGGTGAAATAAGCTGAGGTTCCTAATCTTCAAGACAAATTTTCTTGAACTTTTAGTCTCCACCAAAAAAAAAAAAAAAAAATTACTAAGTTGTAAAACACAGTTAGGTAATGGTGGTGGTGTCGAGGGTGCCATCACTCCCGAGGAACTGGTAGATACTGTACAGTGGTCCCTCGGTTAACGAGCGCCTCGGTTAACGATTTACCTTCCATAAGATTCTTAACTTCGGTTAACGAGCAATCCCTCGATTAACGAGTTTTTTACGAGCCGACTTCAACATGTTTTCGCTTGCATTTGGCGGTCCACCAGCTGTAGTATTAGTCCGCCAATACAGTAATCGGTTTTAGGGCTTAAATTCCTTACTATTTTAGTAAATATCAAGAAGTTTATACTATTCAATAATTTTAAAAGTTTAATATTAACTTTTTTAGTCATTTTAACTATTATTGAACATAATTGAAGGTAAAGAAACTAGTTTCTGGCGTGCCATCCAGCCTGTTAACACACCAGACAGGCGTTAGTCTCTCTGTTTTAGTGGAGGTAACATCTTGCTTGAGACTCTCTTCAAGTAAATGCTTTTTTTGTGTTTCCAAGCAAATTATTGATCATTTTGAAATATATTTTACATATTGACAATATATAATGCAGTGCAGTGTTGTTTAAAGAAAATAATCTTGAAATACACCAAGAGAACTAAAATTTTATGGGTGAAATGGTGCCATGGGGTGACTTCTCTTCCACCCCAATGCCTTCTCTTCTTCCTTCTCCTCCATCCCCATTCTAATTCCCATCATCATCATCATCATCCAGGAGCCTTCTACATACACACCTCAAAGTAAGTGTACTTTTCTACCTTTTTTGTTGAATTTAGGCAATTTTCGGTGAGCTGGAACCAATTACCCAAAAACCCATTGAAACAATGGTTTCGGTTAACGAGTTTTTCGGTTAACGAGCAACCTGTTGGAACGGATTGTGCTCGTTAACCGAGGGACCACTGTAGTTTACATTCACTAGTCCTTATACAGTACCTCCACACACAGTACTGTATATACCTAGTAGAACTTACACCTACTTTAAAAGTGTCATGGAGTTCATATGACTTTATTGGGTAGAAATTCATCCATGTACATTATACAGTATATATGGCTAGGGACTGAAGATAAAACACATCTGGTACTGTACAGTATTGTCCTCATGAATTGAGAGAAAAGAAATTCAACAGGAGAAGATATCATGCTCATGAGAAGTGGGTTACTGTATAAATTTATATATTTTATCAAGTAATATCATTATCTTGCACGCACACTGCTGACATCATTGATAACTAGTGGATTGTAACTGATAACTGTAAGCCAGGACTTTGCTTCCTTGAGGGAGGTGTAATATTGTCTTTACTATACTTACAATAGTTCTGGGAGGGAGGGGGGGGCTGCTGTGGTCATTGTGTTAAGTCAGGTCAATGGCCAGTTATTCCTGAGAGCTGTGTTGTACCCTTGACAGCTGCGGTGATGATGATAGCATTGATGACAGTTGCCAGGCAGTCAGCACAAATGAGAGAATATCTGTAATAATTCTGTCATATTTCGTGTTCACTTATATGTTTATTCTGACTAATGATAACTTTATATAACTACTGTAGTATGACAATCAAGATCAGAATTATATTGTAGTCCAAGGTGTCCAGCACTGATGGATTTTCTCTATAGCTACACGTAACACCGTCCAGGTCCCCAGTGCAGTAGATAGATAGATAGCTTTACAGTTACTACCAGTGTTGAAAATATAACATGAAAGAGGACACATGGTGACTTCATTTGCTTCTGACACCTGCAATTAAGATAACACACTTGATGGAAGGTATTTGACAGGTATGACCACAGCTCGAGCTCAGAATACCTGTATACTGTACATTAGTGGATAACTTGAGGATTAGGTGCCCCAGTTTATTTCACCTGATGATTAAACACCCAAGTGCTGACCTCACCTGATGTCATCTAATTTACCCCCCCCCGCCCCTCCAGGTAGCATTATGGTGTTTAATCATCAGGTCAAATAAACTGAGGTGCTTTTTTGTGAAATTTTAATTTTTTTTTTTTAGTACTGGTGCCATATGGGATGGTTGGTTCCTGGTGTGTACCACATATACAACCACTCCTCGACTTATGATGGGGTTAGGGACCCAAATCCAGGTCGTAAGTCAAAAATGCGAAAATAATACATAGAAAATCTAAATTGAGTGTCTCTTTTTCTTCTCAGCACCACAAAACTCCCACTTTTAAGCTTGCCAGCCATTTTAAAGGAAATTACAAACAAAAATTTTGTCAGTACACAGCGCAATCACAAACATCGGGACTCGAAAATACCGTACATAATTTGAACAAATTTTGGTACAACTGGGGCGGTCGTATGTCCAGGTGGTCGTAAGTCGAGTAGTGGCTGTATACACATTCTTGTACAAGCTTCCCATGGTGTGTGTGTGTGTGTACAGGATATCCATGTACTGTACTAACATAGTGGTACTAAGAGACTGTCCTTTGTTTTGTGTAAGCGAGTCATTCTTGTCCATCTCCCCCTTTACTCACTGTTATGGGGCCCACACAGTACATCTCCCCCTTTACTCACTGTTATGGGGCCCACACAGTACATCCAGTGTTGTGTGATCTCTTCATCATTAATGGGACTTTCTCTGTTGGTGTTTTGTTTAATTGGCTTTGCTATTAGTGGTGATTCATGTGCCTATAAATACCGGTAGTTTTAATTGGGCTTCTGAAATATAGGTATAGTTATCCTTGGTTACATGAGAGGCGCCGGTGTTTTAGGCAACTGTCAGCTGGGTGAAAGAATTTGTTTGGCTTGAAAATTACCTAAGTTGCATAGATTAGTTAACTCATTTATTGTACTAACTGATACAACACTGAATATATTTTTTATATTTTACATGTATCGGGTACTGTATGTTTGGTCAGTGACGGCCGCTCTCACGTGTGTTGGCCACAGTTGTGTGTTGAACGTTTTGGATATTTAAAATTTTGTAAGTGTAAACATATCCCATAGACTCTTGAAACTTGTGATGAAGAATGTAAGTAGTAGTTCTGTATGGTATAAGGGTGACAACAGCAGCAGTAGTACCTCGTGACAGTTCAGTTACTTGTACGTTTGAAGGATTGACACAGCCTTGGTGGTGATCTACGTTATACTGTGTTTAAACCTTTTGCCGCCGTATAAACCTTAACACACGCGACCCAGATATCACAGATCGTCTTATTGCCATGGGCTTCCCTGCTCAGAAGCTGGAGGGGGTGTACAGAAACCACATTGACGACGTTTGCCGCTTCTTAGAGGACAGACACAAGGACCACTACAGAATATATAATTTGTAAGTATATCCCTACTGTATATACCTCTACTGTATATACCTCTACCCTACTGTATATACCTCTACCCTACTGTATATACCTCTACCCTACTGTATAGACCTCTACCCTACTGTATAGACCTCTACCCTACTGTATATACCTCTACCCTACTGTATAGACCTCTACCCTACTGTATATACCTCTACCCTACTGTATATACCTCTACCCTACTGTATATACTTCTACCCTACTGTATAGACTTCTACCCTACTGTATAGACTTCTACCCTACTGTATAGACTTCTACCCTACTGTATATACCTCTACCCTACTGTATAGACCTCTACCCTACTGTATAGACCTCTACCCTACTGTATATACCTCTACCCTACTGTATAGACCTCTACCCTACTGTATATACCTCTACCCTACTGTATAGACCTCTACCCTACTGTATAGACCTCTACCCTACTGTATATACCTCTACCCTACTGTATATACCTCTACCCTACTGTATATACCTCTACCCTACTGTATAGACCTCTACCCTACTGTATAGACCTCTACCCTACTGTATAGACCTCTACCCTACTGTATATACTACCTCATAAATATGTTGCTCGTTATATTGCCAACCTGTTACCGTTAAATACAGTAAGTGTTGGATTATTGTATCTTATGTACTGATGTTATTGTTGTCCTTCTCGATCACTCCTGTTTTATAAAAGAAATATGGCCAGGAAGAAGGGTATGGACAGGTGGTGAAGTCAGTGTGTTGTAAACTGTTCATTACTGGTGGTGGTTAGACTGTAGCTTATGTGATCTTTTTATTATATTAAGTGGAATGATGTTTAGATATACTGTAGTTATTGTACTGATACATCATAAAATCCTCTCCTGCCTTTTCTTAACTCCTGACAGAACAGATTATAGATCTCATCTCCTTCATTAAGTTTTCATATAATGTATAATATTCTCTCCAGTTTTTATTCAGGTCTGTTATCAGTTTGGTATACAGAATGTTAGAAAAGTCACTGTGTACCAATGATAATTAAAATTACAGTATAGTTTTTTTTTTACCCTTTTCTACCTACAGTAAATATTATAAATGATCATAGTAAATGTTGGAAGTGGATAGCTACCATTCCCATTATTTACTGTAAGTATAACAATGTAGATATAACAAGGAACAACTATAATGTAAATTATTGTAGATGCACATGGACCTTTCTAACACCTTGTACAATATCCTGACTTGCTCGGAGGTTTGGTCAGGGAAGAACCTTATTAGGAAAGCCAGCACCAAGATTAGCGTCTCTAGATTATTTCACCTTAATATAAACCACCTAACTTAACCTCCCCCCAGGAAGCATTAGGGCATTTAGTTAATCATTTATATATAGGTGATCTGTATAAATTGTTCTTGTGGTGTCTGTGAGCCAGTGTGTGTTGTCTTAGCTGAAGCGAGACATCTGTGAAGTTTGTGTCTGTGATGCCTTGAGAGTTGTTATATATATATACAGTACATCCAGTCAGAAGGAACTTGAGCCAGTGAGTGTCATGATACTGTGGGTATTGTATAGTAGTTGTGTGTTTGTTATAGTAGTGGTCTCGGTATAATACTCGAGGAGATTATTGTAATACAGTAACCTTATGACCTGTCACCATTTGGGGGTGGCAGGCACAGTAGTACTCGAGGAAGACCTGCTGACTTGCTCCTCACTCTGGTTTTGATGTGAAGTAGGTTTTGTGGATCCTACTCTTGTTGTTTCTTAAGATTGTGTGCATTAAGATAAAACCTTTGTATTTTTTTTAGGTGCTCTGAAAGAAATAGATCGTATGATATAGCAAGATTTCATAACCGCGTTAGAACCTTCCCGTTTGCTGACCACAATCCTCCTCCTTTGATTGACATCGAGCCATTGTGCAAAGACATGGCAGATTGGCTTAACGCAGATCAGAAAAATGTGGCTGTTGTGCACTGTAAAGCTGGAAAGGTAAGTCCAGTAGTGTTTTTATTTAGTGTACAATGACTTTAATTCTTATAGGTGTAGCTATTGTTGTCTTTACCCACATCAACAAATATTATTAATATTTGTAATGTCGGTAAAAGTGATAAATAATGACATTAAACCAATGATTCATCTTTATAAAAATACTAAATAATGAATTATCTTGGTGAGGATATTTAAAACATGTTGCCTTGGATGGTGAAATGAGGAAGTGGGGAGGGAGGACTACACCACATTATGACATTTACCCTCCATAATATGAGCTAAGGCACTGAGTCCGCCTGCCAGTGATCCCCTGAAGGCAGATCACATGTTACTAGCCTTCTCTAGTTACCATAAAAACACAGTGTAAACAGTTTCCACCCATCAGAACAATGTGTAGTAGGATTTTTAAATAGTTTAGGTACCTTATTGGTGGCCCTACAACACTTGCCCTTTGTGGAACTGACTCATATACAATACTGTACAGGAGCCATCACTTATGGGGTAGATGTCACACAATATTTGGTATATGCACAATGGGGAGCTTTTTATTGATTATTGTTTTTATTAATTTTTTATTAATTATTATTATTATTATTATTATTTTAAGAATTTGTAGAAGAGTGTAGAGTGTATTTAGAAATGAGTGATATGGAAATATTTATTGGATGGTTCAGGATATAGTGAGACAGGATGAGGAAACATAAGGCTGAGAGGTTCTTAGTTCTTACACTGGAAAAATATTCATATAGGGATAAAGAACATATTTTTTTTTTGATATTCTCCATGAACTACCTTTCTTCTATATTTGGGATTTGCACAAAGAGTAGCTATATATAATATGTTGGTGAATAATTTGACCATGTGATGAGTTCCATGGTAGGGCATTTGCCTCGCTGGTAAAGGGTCGTGGGTTCACTTCTCAACTTGTTTAGGGAGGGTCTGGATTCTCCCTCGTTGTACACTCGTAACCTCTGCACACTCAGGTGGTGGAACAACCCGCCGGTGAACGAGCATCCTGTTAAGAGGAGCATTGACCCCTCTAGCTGCTGAGGGCTAAGAGTCAGGGGACCGAGACCTCTCCACCATCTTACATCACTACAGAAAAAACTCTGGGATTTTCTTTCTCAAGTGGTTTACCCGAAGCCTATTAAGAGAGGATAATTGTGAGGACGAGAGAAAAGAAGTGAGGCAGTGGGGAGTGTTTAATGAAGCTCAGGAAGATCCAGCAAGATACGGCTTATCTTGGGGAGGTAGACAGTGACGGAAGTGTGAGGTGGCGAGGGTCATGACAAGAGGGGTAAGGGGAGTTAGACACACACCCATAACTCTCAAGACACTTTATGCCTTATTACTGTACCTAGATCTGTGAGTGTATATACTGTATTTATATTTCAGGGTAAATAATCTGACATACAGCGAGTTCTGCTATAACGCGTGTTTTGACAACTCGAATTGGCTCTAACGCGATTTATGAATAGAGGAACGATATTTGTATAACGCGAACGCTTGTTTGCTGTAACGCGATTTTTGCTTACTATTTCTCCAATTTTGTGGTGTTAACTGTGAATATGGTAAAGAAGAATATCTCCAAGAAGCATTCTGGTGATCGCATTCCCGGTGATGATCGTAAAAGAAAGGCTATAACCCTTGAAGAGAAGCTCGATGTTATCAACCTCAAAATCACCCTTCTCCCCCATCAAGTTATATTCATATTTTTTCAAGGTAAAGTGTTACATTTACTGTATGATTTCATTATTAGATATGAATGTAACATTTATTTAGACTGTGCTATCCTTTGTGTTAGGCTAACTACTAAATTTTTTTCGATTTCGAGTAGTAATCTGCACCTAACCCTATTTTCTCCATAAGCCCTGTTATTTCTATTACGCGAATTTCTATAACACGATGTTTTACAAGAACACAACTATCGTGTTATAGCAGAACTGACTGTACTGTAAGTAGATAGTGTGGGTTAAGAGATAGATAGTGTGGGTTAAGAGATAGATAGTGTGGGTTGTGAGATAATCAATACCCGGTACCTGGAATATTTGCTGGTGTGAGAAGTTAGGTTTAGTGGCGCCGCTTACTGTAATGTCATCCATGTTTTGTGTCGCCTCACTGCCTGTGTGTTTACTGATCATGCTCCTCCTCTCACAGGGACGAACAGGTGTCATGATATGCTGCTACTTACTTCACTGCCGGTTCAAAATTTTAGCACAAGACGCATTGGATTTTTATGGAGATAAGAGAACTTTTGATAGAAAAGTAAGGTTTTGTCTTATTAATTATATACACTGTACTATTATTCAATTGTTACACATGTATCATAGACTTCACTTGTAATGCTCTGTTGTACTAATAGAAGTTAAGAAGTGAGGACCAGTGATGAATAATTATGGTTTTATTATTTCAGGGAGTAACTATACCCAGCCAAAGAAGATATGTGGAGTACTATGCCAAACTAGTCACCTCAAACTTTAATTATAATCCACCTTATGTCCGCCTCAGGGAAGCCAGAATGACTGCACCATTATCCAGTGTAAACTCAGGTCAGTGAGTCATGTTACTTGTCTGCTGTAGGTGTTGTGAGTCCTGCTGTAGGGGTGGAGGTTGAGCTGAACCAAGAACAGGCTCTTTATTTCATATCCTGTCATTCAGACACTTTGTAACATTTCCCATAGGTAATATTTGTGTATTTAATTGATTTACAGCACAGGACATAACTAGTATATATTGATCAGAGCTGGAGGGGGGAGGGGGGGCAGTGCATTATATGGCTATGTAGGTGTTAGTTTAGAATTTGTAATACATTGGTGATGTACCTGAGGATTCTTATGAAACTGGTGTTGGTGGTAAGATGCCAAGTATGCTGTAGGAACTTCCTATCTCATTTTCTACCATCGTTCATAAGTTCTAATGAATTTTCTTTGGTATATGGCACCTATATTATGAACCTGTCACTCTTTATTGAATATTTAGTTTCCAGGAGACAGTGGATTCATGTTTGTGGAGAATCATTCCTTATAACTGCAGTCATCATGTATTATGACATATTAAATATATTGAGCAACAATAGAGAACATTTGTTGGAGAAATATGGGGATGTGATGCAAGTTACGTAAAAGATAAGGTAGTGGACGGCCAGGAAGCAGCGATGCAGTGAATGAGTAGACAGCGTGGCTCTGGCTGATTTTGGGGATGGATGTGTTACTGATGGGTGATGCTAGGTTGTGTGAGGCAACAGGATATGAGGCGCTACGTGAAGAAGGCAACACAGTTCTGTTATTTTACCAAGTGGATGTTTGGAGGTACATTATGGAGAGTTGGTTATTTATATACTGTATTGAGTTGCCACATATGCAGCTGGGGCTTTGTTTTTGAAAGGAGGAAATCTATTTCACCAGAAAGAATTGAATGGATGTTTGATGACAAAGGAAGGATGAGCCTGGTTTTTATGTATGGTTCTGACCATTTCATTATAACAGGAAAAGTATGGAAAGAGTGTCCCATTTCCTGCTAATAGAACAGGATGGCACAAAACCTCCCTCAAACTATAATGTGAGGTACCAACCACAGCCATGTGCAGTATACTCGTTCAGTGTTCGGTAATCATCACTTCAAATAGGTAAAAATTGACCAATGATCTTGGTGTACTGTGTAATGTTTAATTGTATTTTTAGTGTTTGATCGAGGGAATGATTAACAACTATGATCACTGATTTGTTATACAAGCCAATAGCCAGGTGGAATATGATGACGTAGATAGGCTGCACCATTTGATGTATTGGCCATGATTAACAAGATTGATTGGCTGTACATGGTGTTTCGTATATAGGGACTATAGCCTGTACTGTATGAGGGTAGAGGAGGGTAAACACAATGGCTCCTACAAAGTATAAGGCTCTACATTGGTTCCTACAAAGTATAAGGCTCTACATTGGTTCCTACAAAGTATAAGGCTACATATATGACACCTTCTTGGCCACAAACCTCCTCCTGCAGCAGATCACATCACAGGAAGTTGGGGAATATCATGTGTTACAGTACCTCCAGTTTCCTGATGACCACTTGTGGATAGTAGCTACCAACCCCTTGTCCCTAGTTGGATCTGTCTGAATGTTCTTGAATTGCCAGGGTATTACTGAGCTGTATCTTTCATCATCAATGATAGTAATAAATAAAATTGTATTGTATGTATTCTTCTGTTTTATGTAATTTTTGGCCTAGGAACAGGTCAGTGATAACTTCTACTCTTCTGGTGCCAGGTTTAGTTATGCTCACTCAGGTTATGACTGACTACACTGCTGGATATAACATGCTTCTCCAACCTCAGTAAGGTAGCAGGTCTTTTATAGGTGGTGACAGCTTCTTGCACATTAAACAAGATTTTCAAGTAGATAGACCACCCTGCCCCACCCTTTATGCACTGTCTAGACAATATTTGAGATGTGTAATTTTCTGTGTAGTTCTCCTTTACAGAATTATGCATCATTGATTTCCTTCTGAAAATTTTAAGGAAGTTTATTCTCACCTATAATATAGTTTGCTTTTCTGTAGTGTGATGTATTCTATGCAGGTTTTGGAAATAATAATAAATGGGTCATGTTTTCCATTTTCAGAGGTGTATCTGGTAATAAGCACCCACAATAACAAAAAGGGTTATAGCTCGCAACCGTGTGACGTGCGAAAAGGCAAGGAATGGCTGCTCCTACCCGTCAAGAATGAGGAAGCCAGACCATTTTCAGGGGATATCAAGATTGAGTTGAAAAGAACCAACTTTGTTAGACGAACAGTAAGTTATTATACTGTTTCCTTATTTAATCCTTTAGGCCTTCTCCCCCATGAAGCAAGGTACACACACACACACACACACACACACACACACACACACACACACACAATTAATAGTGGTAACATCTCCATGGTTTGTAGAAGAGATTGAACAAATGGCACTTTACTGATCCACTGCAACTAATGGTGACCTGGCACCTTGGATTAATGTTCTCTCTTCTACAGATCCTCAAGATGTTATTTATGGTCACTCTCCTATTGCTGTACATGAATGCATCACACTATAGTCCTCACCACCCACAACAAGGTCCCAAATCTGGTGTTCCCCCTTTACTGTAGTAGCTTCATACAAACAAACCAGCATTACCCATTTCCTACCTGTCTCTCTTTCAATATTTTTATCTTATTTTTATCTATCTATCTTTCTCTTAACATCCTGTGTGGTTTTATTCATTCTGCTGTATGCACTAGGTAGGGTGACTAGCTTTGAATGTAGATGGAGTGAGGACTGCTTATTATTTTTTTATTTATTTTTTCTCAATCTTGGCAGCTTTATTTCTGCTTTGATTTAACGTGGCAGTAAGCAAGAGGAAACAAATTCGACTGTAATATTCTCCCCTTCCCCCTCAAAAACAAACAAACTTCTCCTCAATGCTGTAGTGTCCTGCTGTTGTTCTCCTGTACTGTGTGTTCCTGTAAATCCCTTTACCCCATTCCTCTATCTCCTCCTTGCTCTTCACCTCCCTCTCCTGCAGCAGTTTCCTTCCAGTAGATTTTAGCTATGGGCTAATTGGTTCACTAGAAATGTAAGAATGTATATAAAGAAAAAGAGACAAGCTTCTACTCCCTTATATACTGTTAAAAACATTCTCCCTCATGTGTTCGCCTTACCTTTATATATATAACAGTAACAGGTAAGAATAACATAACTTAATTGTTGATTGAAATGACACAGTTTAGATACAGAGTCCGAGGAGTGTTCAATGTGCGTGTGTGTTTATATTTATCTGGTAATGTTTAATGTTTCAGGACAAATTACTCAGTGCCTGGTTAAATACGCACTTTATATTCGAGGAAGGGAAAAAAATAACTAACGGCTGCGAAATTACGGCGTCTGACCAAAATAATCACAACACCTGCAACACACAGAATATCAGACAAAGGTAAGAGTGCTTGTTATCAGTTATTATCATCTTCCTCTTAATCAGCATTTTTTTTCTTCATCCTTTCAACAATTCTCATTATGTAAAGAGTAATTGATGATAGTTTTACTTCTTCTGCTGTAGTTAACTTCAATTACAGTATATACTAAGTTTGACTCCATCTTCCTTAGTTAACTCTACCAAGTTTTATTCCATCTTAGTTAACTGAACTTATTATGATCCTCACTGTCTTTGAATAATAAATTAGATGTACTGTATAGTATAGTATAGTATATGACTGTATAGTTGTTAGCTTGTATTATGCTGTGTTTATGGTGTAGGGAAGTTTACTGGTAATATTGTATGTACTGTAATCTTAAATGATCTTTGATGATTAACCATTCCAAGTCCAGTACATAAATCAGTTCCATAATCAGGATGTTTTACACAGCAGTATTAAATAACCTGCTACAGTAGGCTGCAGTAAACACTATACAGTATTGTAGTTTTGTAGGACTATTGTCTTTAATATTTTCTTGTCTAAATTGCAACACATTTAGTGATCATACTTACACACAAGAAGGTTAGCAAGTCTCTATTGGTCTGTGCAGAAGTAATAGTTTTCGTGTGGCCAAGCATGACTGCTTTAGGCACAAGAGACGGGAGTCAGCAGAAGCGAGGGCACATCCCGCCGGCCTCGGCGGGGACAGGCAAGACTCTCGCAAGTCCGAGAGGCACAGTCGCGATCGGGAAGAGAGCAAGAGCCTCCCCACGGGGCATCTCACCAGCCTAACACAGGAGGACTGGCCTCCCCCCGGGGGTGATCTCAGTCCCTTTTCTCGGCCCCGCCACCAAAATCGTCAGCGTCGTCGTCACCATACCCAGCATCTCCCGTAAGGATGCTGTCCTCCCAGTGTGGTGTTTTTAGCTGAATCCTTAATGTTTGAGGAGCACTCGCACACTTGGTTGCTCTCACAGTCTTCATAAAGTGCTTCTATCCTTATTCCCTATGTATTTCTAAGAAACAAGTGCTGGAAAACTCCCCTTTCACTAAACATTGCAAGTTTGGAATATTAATATTCTCGGTAAAAAAAATCAAGTTTTTCCAAAAGAATATTACATGACATGAGAATCTCTTCATAATTGCTGATATGATATGAGTGTTGCAGTAGTAGACACCTCAGACTCAGAAGCTGGATATGGAGTTGTTAAGTGTGTGCTAACTGGGAAGTGTGCCTGACTATATTAGTACTGTACAGTATGTTTATCTCTAGGACCAAGTCACTTCCAGTTGAGTCCCATGTGATGTACTAATAATGTCTTTGTAGACAAACATTAGTTTAGTTTGACAAGACAGTCTGAGAATCTAATGATAGACTTGCGCACAGATTAAACCTAGAAAAGATGTTGTACTGTAGCCATAAAATTTTCTGTTTTTTCTTCACAAAGTTTCGCGGTCAGCTGGACACCGGGCGGGTGAATTATTTCTCAGAAATGTGTAACAAGAATTAGTTAGACTGTGAACACTTAAATCATCCATATTGTTTTGTACTGACCACAGCACCACACATCAGATACTGTATGTAATGATCATCTTGTAACACAAGTAGTGTTGCAGGTTGACACAAGTCACAATAAAAACAAAACTCTTGATAAGAGCTCAACTTTATGGAGTTTCTCCTGTACTCAATGTAGTTATTCCAGTGAACATGTTACAGTAATTGGATAAGTGACATTAACATATTAAAAACCTGCTGTGAGTGATGAATTCCAATCCTATGACTTTGTCTATGTTGTACAGTACACACATTATTTTAGTGAAGCAACAAAACCATATAGTAATATATTTGTTGTTGTTGCAGAAGGGGATGTTCAATTATTACATCAATGTGGATTTTTTTGGCATTGAATTTTTACAGCCCCATTTTCTCCCTTCCCCACTTAACAGATATCATTAGCAATCTGCTTCCCATCACACTGTAATTTTTCCCATCATCATGTAGTCATCCCCTGCTCCTTGCATGTTGAGTCTTCACAAATACACTACAATGCTTACTTTGTATATGTAGAGTACAGTTGCTTAACACACTTCACCGCCCCCTACCGTAAGTAATATACAGTACAGTACCATTTTTCACCCTCCACTCCACTTCCCTCTGTTGTCTCCGGTGTAATACTTGATCATTCCCAAAATCATCATTGTATACTATTGGAGAACTGTCATTAAATGCTTGTTGATGTACTGTTAAAATAATGCTGGTATGAGCAGAGAATTTACCTGACTGTAAGCTTAGTAATGAGTGTGTTAGTTTTACCTGAATGATTATGATTTTGAGAGGAAAGTGGCACCAGTTGCATGACAGGTACAGGAAGTGACCGGGTAGACCATGACAGCAAGTAGAAATATCTGCTTACATGTGCTCATATCCACGATGCTTCTTATACCAGTTCACCGTGTGTATTATTGTATCAGTTGACTGCTTGTACCTGCTGCATCATTTTAATAGTACGAACTTTAAACTTGTGTGGGTCTTGTGTTATGCTTTGGTTGGTGTAGAAGAGGGCCGAGGGAAGGTCACTGTAATGTCACAACTTATCCACCTACCTACCGGGCACCTTCATTTCGGCTGTGCATCTGAGGAACTTATTCTTCACGTACTACACTGTAATGTTAAGGTAGTGAGTGAGTGTTGCTGCATTTGATTTTTAACTTTTCTGCCTTCAGTTATTTTTTTTTAATATACTTCAAGTGCACTTAAAAATTTAGTGTTTGGAAAGTGTACTGTAGAATGTTTGACCTCCTCCTCCCCCCCCCCCACTCCCTCACTCCCTCCCCTGCTCCCTTCTTACCCCAGAAAAGGAAAATACCCTAAAGAACAACCATCAGAGTAAAGTACAGTAGTTGCATCTTGTATCACTTGATTTTTTTCCCATGTGTTGGAAAGTTACCATAATATTTGTAAGACCAGAGTTGTGTATGTACCGTACAGTATCCACACTTATTTATCTATCTATATGGCCTGCACTGATGTGTGACTTCAATTGTTATTTTCCCCCTTTAAACCTTATTATTATTAATTTTACTACAGTGTAATGACTATAGTGAAGAAGAGTTAAAAGGACATACTGTACATGTCTTGTGGAGGTTTTAGTGTTTGGTGGGAGATGGTTTGGACCGGACACTGTAACGGGTTCTCCCACCGTTGGTAGTTTAACCCACTTATTGGCCTTGTGTATAATTGTCCTGCACAAAATTAATCTCCAAATGTCTTTTTAAAGTTACAGTTTCCAATTTGTTTATGTAAATCTTTGTTCCTTACTTCATTTGTTTTCCTCCCAACTTCAATTTTTCCCCATAGCATACTGGTTAACCTGGCTTACAAAGGTAAACTTCTTTTTATTCTTATTTAGTAATGCTGAAGGCAGAAGCTTTTGTGTATAGTTCAGTCATAATATGTAAGGTATTTCAAGTACTGGACTATTTTGAACAAAACATTTCACAATATTAACCCCTTCACTGTGGGGACGCCACTTCAAAATTTTATTTATTAACGTCAGAAAGTTTTATTCAGACCAGAGGGAACCCTGTACACAAGGGATTAAAGGTCTTTAACTGGGTGGGGGGGGGGGAGATAAATTTTGGTTACATTTGACCTATCCACAAACCTCCTTGGCCACCAACAACCAATCAGGTCCTGTGAAGTGTAATGACAGCTGAGGATGATCAAAGTTACAACAGAGGTTCAAAATAGTTCCACTTAAAATTCACTGAGTGTGATCATAGTACAGTACATTATTCTGGTACCTGTACAGTATCACATACCTAACTTTTGGTATATCCAGACCAGACCAAGACAAGGGGATGAAGTAACCCACGTCACATCACATTTGCAGCAGCAGACTCTCACCTAATGTAGAACAAATGTAAACTGACTTAGTAGTGTTTGTGATTCTACCATCGTTACGTAGTTGTTTTTGAAGATCTATTTTGCCTCTCGAAGGTATTTAAGACTTTGAGTTAGCAGCTTATGAAGGTGAGTACAGTAGGTGGCTGGAAACCTTTGTTGAAGCATTGTGTATTTACTGTTTTTTTCTCTGAATTTTGAAAATGTCATAGAGTTCTGTACATGATTTAGGTAGGTATGCCTTGGTTAATGACAGATAAGGTATATATTTGCTGTATAGATTCTCCTTTATTTGACCAAGATGTATTTAAGGTTTTATCAAAAGTATTCTTCTTAGATTTAATGTATGTTTTGCATTAATAGTTTGCGATATTTCTCATGTCCACTGAAGCTATGGTTGTACATCTGTCGTCTCTCACAACTGTTGAGGAGCGTGTATCAGAGAATTCATTAGGGAGGATTCATCTGGATAATAGTATTTTAGGTTAATTAATGCATTTATCAAGGATTTAACTAGCGAATGGAAGTATTAAAGTCATTTTAAGGAGCTGCCTTCAGTGATTCAGAGGAACACATCACGCTTTACAAATTCAGTAAATAATTTTGTCTTAGGTGATACTGTACTCTGCCAACCAAGTATCTTTTAATCATTGTGCAGTTTATTCATTATCTGTTCAGTATTACCTCTCTGTATGGAAATTTGCTATAAGACTGTATACCGATCTGGCCCTCAGATTCCAGTAGTGTATATATATCAATCAGGGTACATTAGGGTTTTGTATTAATTCTGTTCGTTATGACTTTCAAATTAATGAATTATTCTCAGTTAGACCCGTTCATACGAGTTAATGGGAGGCGGTGTGAGTTGAAGCCGTAGTGATCCAAAGTCTCTGAAAAAAAAAAGAGTTGTGGTAGTCCCTCAAATGTACTGCATCCTCTCACCACTAGAAACCTTCCTGTCTCTCTGTTGGGTTAACTTAGATACCCTTCACACCTGTAATGTAAGAAATAGTCGCTTCAACGTGTGAAAGCTCAATTGAACTTAACCATGTCCCTGAGCAGCGATGGGGGGTGATTAATATTTATACATTCTTACAGTTTATGAATACAGTATCTTATTATTGAGGAAACTTTATGTTCATATTTGTGTTAAGTTTCAACCCCGGTTCTTATTTCCACAATTAAACTAATGGACTGTGTTGACACGGTTCATCTTAGCTTTCGTGTTCTTGGCCATGATCTGTGTATAGTTGCTTAACTCTACCGTATTCCCAGAAGTGATGTAGGTACAGAACACTCAGAACATAGGAAACACAATACAGCACACTGACGATACTCTAATTGTCTCCCTTGTTTGTTTGCCATCCATCCAACTGACTTTTAGATCAAGTTTATTTCAGGTAAGTTTTATAAATTAATGCTTGTCCATGCTTCTTAACCTGTGGCTCCAGAGTGGTGGTGGTGTTGTTTAATACAGCGTAGAGTTGTCTCGAAGAAGTAACGACTGCGGTCCCTCGGTTAACGAACGGTTTGATTGTACTGTACTGGTATTTTGTGCTTCGGGTTTTAATGCATCTTTTACAAGTTTCCAAAAGGGAGAATTTAAACTTGCGAGTTGTATGGCACGAAGTTGTGATGTCTTTATATTATTGTGGTGCTGTAGTTGTTGATTGATACAGACACTGCATGTGAGCCAAGAGTTTCCTCTGTCTCGGGGATTTTCCGATTTATGGGTGATTATGTAACGAATTAAAGGACGTATAACTAATGAAAGGTTGCACAAAATTTAATTAAAATTATGTTAAGGCATTTGAATATTGTTGTTCATGTGAGACCAACATATTTGTTCTCCATGCAGGAAATATAATATGGTGTTAAGCACTACCTCTCTAGGAGGGGGGGGGATTAAAAACAGTCAATATTCTAAAATTTACTCTGGAGAAACATAGTATTGGGCATTTTTTATTATTGGAACTATAACATCTTGTAATATTTAAGACATGAGGAATCAGATGGTGGGGTGAGCACTTGGGTAGAAGTTTTCAGAGTCTGGGTGTTACCATATTAGGTTTGGAAGACCTCCTGGAGAATAGCACTTCACTTTAAATGTAGACAGATGTGTGACAGTGATGCAAGTGATGGCCATGACAAAAATGCAACGTGACACACGCATTAAATTGCAACTTTAGACACACGGAAGAATATGATACTGTACAGTTAACTTAAATATAAGGTGTGACCAGACTACCATTACACTATGTTAGATGTGGGATATGATATATTGTTGAGACATTGTAGATCACCTGAATTATGTCATAAAGGCTCTACTATTATCCTTTACCCTATTATGATTTTGTTTTGGATGTGCGAATGTGTCGTATCATTTATATAAGTGTTGCTGACTTCTGCTCCTGTAGCGTGTGCGTCGGGGCGGGAGATCCATGGGACGAGGCGCGGGCGAGCGAGCAGGAGGTACTGGTGGTGTTGAAGAAGGACCAGTTGGATAAGGCCAACAAGGACACACATCACAAACTACTACCGGAAGACTTTCAGGTCGGTCAGCATAATGTGTGTGTGTGTGTGTGTGTACTCGTGTGTACTCTTGTGTGTGTGTGTGTGTGTGTGTGTATTATAGGCGTGAGGGTAAGGTCAAATGAACAGTTGCATTTAGGACGGGTCTGGTAAGTATGGTGGATTAGTATGATAAACAACACAATGATCAATATTTATCATAGTGGGTAATAAGTGTGACACCATGATAATATCTGGACTCAAGCTCAGGTAGTTTTATTTATCCCCATTTCCTGTTGAGAGACGATCACCCTCATCATGGATAAAACTAATGTCGTCATCAGTAGCACCAAAAGTATCCCTTTACTAGAGATTAAAGATAATTAGAATAGGATGTTTTTATGCTGGTGGAGATTATGTGAGTAACGTGGGGGGAGGGGGGGGGACACTGTAGCAGGGAATTCCACAGCGTGTTAGTCAGTCAAGGTGTACAGTATATATAAATTACCGTGACACTTAATATCTCACTTTGCTCACTCACCACTGACACTTAATTAACCTTGTTTTACCGAAAGTATGATCGATGGATTTTAGAATGTTGTACTGCAGTTAAATATTTGTAGTGATGCAGAAAAGAGGCAGATGTACTAACTGTGGATAATGGTAAAGAGGCAGCCCGTTGGTAGCTTCACGTGGGAAAGGGGGGAACATGTGGATGATTTAGTATGATAGAAATATTTATATAATGGGAGGAGACAAACTTTTTTAGGGGTGATGGTAACTAATTTTTTAAACTAAAATTTCCTTTATTTTTTAATCTATTTCTGTCTATATCACTGAATAATTTAGTTTGACGGACAATAAATTTTTGAATCATTCTCTCATATGACAAGATGCTGGAGTTTGTGTGCGTGGGCGTTCACTTCCTGCTGCTGTCCGTCAAGGTCCTCACTCTTGGTTGACGTGAATTGTGATTGATGTCCCTGTGGTATATAAACTGTGTATTAATAGCTTATGGTAGATGATGTTTGTATTTAAAGTGTCAGGGTAGAAAAGCCTTGTTTGTGGAGTAATTACAGAGAAAATCCAACATGTCGTTAAGGTCAAAAGTGACTCGTTCTCTCACTTGCCTCGATAGCGGTGATTATGCATACTAGTCGGTTGTAACGTTTGGTGTTTACGCATTGTTTGGTCGAGGAAATGTTTGGCGGTAAAGCGCTGAAAGTTGTACAGTAATGCAAATATTTTGTAAGTTCGAGTAGTTTTATATATTTTTTTAACCCCAATTCCCGCTGGATGTGTCATACTGTACAGATTGAATTATGGTGGCTGGTGTCGTACGTAAACAAAGGGAGCAGTAACGTGCTGGAGTCTCGAGAGAGCGGCTCTACCCCGAGTACCATCACCCCTTCCGGCTCCTCGTCAGACACGGACGACGACGATGATGACGAAGAAGACGAAGACTGGGACTCAGGTAGGAAGTGTATGTCTTCCCCGTATACTGTATTCTATTGTATTACGCTATTGTATTTACTCTCCACCTTTGCTATTTCTTGTGGGTGTCTCTCTGCCAGGTGATTTTTGTTTCATATTTAATAGTTTTTTTTAGTTTAGTTTAGTTCTGTGCTTACTATTGCATTGTTGCCCTGTTGCTTAATATAAAGTCATGTGATTATGTTAAATATGTGTACTACTGTGCTCAGATGTGTGTGTGTAGACTATGGCAATGCCTCTCACTATCCAGCTTTTATTTTTTATTTTTTTCGAGTCGGTCATCCATAGTTTGTTTTTTTTAGTATAAAGGATTGGTAGTACAAATGCAGTGAAGGTTTGTAATGGATCTCTGAAGCTAATATATATTTTTCACTAGAGTTCATTTACCCCAGAATGATTCAAGAGGATTTTATTTTTATATTTTTTCAGTCAGACGTGTTGAGTTATTGCTCATAGTTTGCCTTTAGGGTCAGAATGAGCTTAAATCATCTGACGACAGTTTCCCCATTTAAGCTGTCTCAATGTTTCATAATTTACCACGATGATTAAAGTGACAAGTGTACAGTAATTTGTTCCCTGCACGAACTGTACGGTAATTATGTGTTACAGTATCGATAAAATTACTGTGCTGTGGGACCCTCTTACCTGCTTTTGTTTTATGTGTATAGTTATAACGTTGTGCTTCCTCATGGCTATAATTATGACTTGTGTTTTGTATGTGGTGAAGGCATGGCGTGAAGGATACTGTATGTTTTTCTGAGTGATAGAGTTAACAGAGATGGTTATTTATGTTGTAGTGGACTTATTTATTACCGGTACATATTATGTTTTTTTTTTACTCTTATAATTGATAAGATTTGTATTGTTTTTCTAAATTAAGGTTAAAAAAAGATATGAAGGATCAGTAGTCCTGGATGTTGATCAGTTATGAACACTGATAATATTTTTATGTCTCTTGCCTTAATATTACATTGTATGATATGTTGATATTTTTATTTTATTTTATTATTTGTATCATCAGACATTAGTAGTTCAACTATAAGTGCACTTCCACCTCAGAAACACATATTTGCATTACAGTTTGTGAGATGTTATAAAAACCAATACAATTTGTTGGGAAGCAAGTCCGATCCACCGCCTCCCAGATACTGTACAGTTAATAGTAGACGTCCACATCTCAGAACTAGCAGCGCTTGTGTGGGGGCTAAACACTGTAGAAAAATACTAATTCATTAAATTATAGAAAAAGAATCATACTGTATTATGTATTTTGTGATGGACCCATTGTTAAGTGGAGGGGTAGAATGTGTGTGTGTGTGTGTGTGTGTTGTAAGACGAGAACACACAGGGAAGACATATGACAGGTATGGAAGCAGTGTAGTGAGGAGGGTAGAGTTGGGCCTCAGGGAAACAACATGAAAAAATTGCTAATGTCTTTTTGTTTACACCCACAATGGTTTCTTAGACTTCGATGTGACTTTTTTTTCTTTCTGTTAATGGTTATTTTTGATGTATCTCAGGAAATATGTGATGTGTGTTAGGGGTGAGGAGAGAATTTTTTGTTGTACACATAGGGATATCTCACACACTGGAGTGGTAGGGTGGGTGAGGGAATGAATTAAACAAACCATTATGATGATACTTTCCACATCATATTTTTTTTTCTTTGGTGAAATTGGTAACACTGTATAAATGGCTCTTCTCCAGAGACACATTCATTAACAATAATAATTTAGGTTGCTGTATCTGTCTGGACCAAATTAACCCAAACTAATACATATACAGTAGAAGAATCCACAGCTTGACGCTTTCAACTAACAGTACAGTAACCTGCGTGTATCTTTCTGCAGCGTTCAGCTCCCCCAAACACCACTCGCTTGTGTACATGTTGACTGGAGATGATGAGTACAGTAAAGCCTCCATATAACGGGAGTTCTCTCTTTATATAATCCTTTAAATGGAGGTTATTCACGCCTGATGGACTCTCGGTATAACGGACTAGTTCGTTAGGTGGAGGTCTCACATCTAACAGACACTCGATATGACGGGTCTGTCTTCTCCACATAGTCCGTTAAATAGAGGTTTCACTGTAAGGGTTCCCAGTGTATCAACCAAGCTACTTAAGATAAAAGTTCAACCTTAGTGCGTCTCAAGTTCTGTTGTTGCTTAATTGTAAAACAGTTTGGTTTTTTTTTTTGGAGTGGGGGTGAATATGACCAGGAACCCCCCATGATTGTTTCGATTTTGTTGTCGCCCTTTTCCTCCCCTAGTTAGTTTATGTCAGCAGTTTATGTCTGGATGACTGGACTGTGGTGTGTCTTTTCAGCCCCAGGGAGATACAATTGTATATATTTTATAGTAGTAAATAGTGTTGTGTCTGTACTGCACCAGCCAGTGACCACACCCAGATACGTACAGCTGTGGACAAAGAGAATTCGGCAGGTGAGGGAGTGTGAGCCGCGCCTGCCTCATAATTTAAAAAAAAAAAAAAGTAGTTATAATTTTGTCTCCACCTAGCTTCTATGTCCTTCCATACACCAACCTCCCTCTCTGCCTCCCCTGCCTGCCTGCCTAAGAATTCTTTTTGTCCACGACTGTACATAGGATTGAAGACCTCCCTAAGTAGGAGAAGAGAACCCATCTAGAGCACTGCACAGTCTCAGTACCCATTTGGTATATATATATATATTACAGACTTAAAGCAGCGCGTACATTAGTTGCCTTCTCGCGTCTCCTGCTCTGTGGGGGTTGGAATCATTGTACGGGCCTTTAAAGTCTGGAGCCAGCTTTCTTGTTTTGGTGTAGTGTAACCCCCTCTATAGATGTAGGGCGAACGTGGCCAGAATGACTTGAAGTATGTCCTCCATGTTGCTGTTTTTGTTTACCGTATATCGTTGTGCTTTACCTTTGCTTATTGTGTTATTTTTCTTCTTCTTTGTGTGTATTCTGCTCTCTCTCTGTCTCTCTCTCTCTCGTCTCTCTATCTCTGTCTCTGTCTCTCTCTCTGTCTCTGTCTCTCTCTGTCTCTCTCTGTCTCTGTCTGTCTCTGTCTCTCTGTCTCTCTCTCTCTCTGTCTCTCTCTGTGTGTGTGTGTGTGTCTCTATGTCTCTCTCTCTCTCAGTGCATGGTGTTATCTCTTATAAAATTGTGCCATTAAAGCTTCCCAGTTAAGACGTTGAGGTTATTATGATTTAAGCTTTGTATGTGAAGCAGCTTTTTGAAAACACTAAATATATATACGTACAGAGCTTCGTAAATTATCTGACTCCATTTTAAACCTTAATAACTTGTAAGGCATTATAGATATGAAATCTATATTTTTTAGTACTTGATGGATAACTCTTATGTTTTGTTGGATCTAATATTTTTTGGGGGGGGGTTAATTGGTTTTTAAAATGTGTCAGACATGATTTATGGATGACTTGTATGCCTTTTTTCATTAACTTATCTTCAATATAGTTTATTTGTTTCATTGACTTGTGTTTCAGTAGTGTAGTATATATATGTAGATCTTGTTGGTTCATTTGTTTAGAAGTTGAATTGTTCACTTGTTGTTCTTAAAACTTTGTAGTACAGTACTGTATTTGGGTTTAACTAATTCATAGACTCACTCAAAGCTAACTGAATTTATTCTCTACATAACTAATTTCACAGATTAATGGTTTGACTTACTTAACTGATGCTGCTGTTTTAGTATTAACTCTTTTTGTGGATTAATTTGTAGTTTTGAATTTAATTTATTCTTGAGTAATGTCTGTATTATTTATGGATAGGTGTGTGTATATATATATGTGTTCAATATTAATAATTATAGATTGATCTTTAGTCTGTTCTTCTTATATAGTGTGTTGGTTGTACAAGGGAGCTTACAAAACTCTCTCTTGGTGTTTGTGTTTCCAGAGGTCCTCGAGGAAGATGTTACACCCTGGTATGTACTCTAGCTCATTTTCTGTACATAATCTGTGTTCTTCACCATATGTCTCTTCTGACTTGTCTCCTGATGAATTGTAGAGGGTAAAAAAAAAAAATGCGTTTTCTTCTACAATCCTTGCAAGTCTTAAGTCACGGCAGATGTGGCCGATAATGATGTTAGTTTGTGTGCAGAAAATGATGAGTACTTACTAATTGGATGTTGTTTTGTGTTTTGTTTTTTTTTTCTTCCCCTGTGTAACTTCTTCCGAGGGACTGACTGACCGACTGACTAGAAAGCGCAAACACCGAGGGATTTTATAATCTCCCTGTACCGTACTCTTACTGTTTATTAAAGAAAGTGTTTTAAACTGTGTAAAATAGCACCCAGGCAAGCCAGTTTGGTGAGATTTTCTTCATTCTCATTGTGAAAAAACAAAAGAAATATAATCTTTCACGCAAAACTAATACCATGAATACGTTACATGTGCTAACTCCAGCATCTCCACACACACACAGGCAGGCATCCACACGCACGCATGCTTGCACGTCGGCATGTTGAGTCATTCTTTAGCACAGCAGTATAATGGTTTGCTGGTCTTGGTGTTATGTAAGGTCACGGAGAAGCTGTGTGTCGTGTTCTGGCATTCCAGGTCATTGTGTCACGTGAAATATTGTCAGGAGTTTTTAGGGTCAGTTTATAATCATGGTAGGTTAGTGTTAATCATGGTAGGTTAATGTTAATCATGGTAGGTTAGTGTTAATCATGGTAGGTTAGTGTTAATCATGGTAGGTTAGTGTTAATCATGGTAGGTTAGTGTTAATCATGGTAGGTTAGTGTTAATCATGGTAGGTTAATGTTAATCATGGTAGGTTAGTGTTAATCATGGTAGGTTAATGTTAATCATGGTAGGTTAATGTTAATCATGGTAGGTTAGTGTTAATCATGGTAGGTTAGTGTTAATCATGGTAGGTTAGTGTTAATCATGGTAGGTTAATGTTAATCATGGTAGGTTAGTGTTAATCATGGTAGGTTAATGTTAATCATGGTAGGTTAGTGTTAATCATGGTAGGTTAATGTTAATCATGGTAGGTTAGTGTTAATCATGGTAGGTTAGGTGTAAGTTAAGTGTCATTTAGAGTCACTTTACTGCACATAGAGAGGTGTCACATAGAGCTGAGCTGGTCGGTTACCAAGTCCTTTCTTGACCGTCACTATATAGAGCCAAAGAGAGTGTGTTATAAGACACTTCATATGTTTCCCGAGTGCCTCCACATACAGCAGCAGAATGAGATAGAATGTTTGATATTTTAACTTTTTCTCTTAGTAGCGCAGAGTGCATGGTGAGTATGTACTGTACTGTATCTTACGTAGTACTGTAGTTTTGATATGGAATAGTGTCTTAATGTCTTGTTTAATTACCTAGTACTCTACTGTAGGTAGTTATTGAGTAATTGCACGATTAGTATTGTTAGTTTGACATAAAGTGAATGTTTAATTACATGGTGATTCGGTGTGTATTACTTAGTTGCAAAGCCACATCAACACTCACGCGCCTTATTTATAACAACTACCCCTCCCCACGCACGGGGATAATTATGACCGCCTTGCACAGAAGAGTCATGCTATATCTGTTTTTTGTCTTCGGATAGATTGTTTTGGCAACCTGTTAATTTTCTTTATATAAAATAATTGAGTGTTCTTTTTCATAACAACAGAAAAAAGTGAGAAAAAAAAGAAAAAAGGGATAATTTTGATAATGTGAAGTCTCGCATTACATTTGTTAATACGATCAACTTGTATTTTAGTCAACAACCAACTAAGTAAGGATAATAAGTGTTAGATTAAAAAAAAGCAGATATATACGCTTTATATTGGTGAATTTTTTTTTTATGAGTACAGTAATAAAGCTGGTTTTAGAATTTTGCAAACATGTACAGTTTGGTTGTAAGCAATTTTTTATTAAACAAAAAGCCAATCCCAGCAGTTCACACACAAACAATGTTTACAAGTTTAGATAAGTGAAATAGTGAATTAAATAAAAACAAATTTTGTGAAAACTTTACAAACAGTTTTGCAGGCAATATTACTGAACAATGGAGGGCAGGTGTGTGTGAGGGGGACAACAGAAGAAAATTTAAAGGGAAAGTGCACAGCATCTCCCTGCGTGACTGCTGGGAGACTACTGAAGTACTCGAGTCTTGACGCCCTCATGCTCGGAAGGGTTGCCATATATCTAATTAGTATTGGATCACCACGAGAGAGAATAGTTCGAGGAGTGACTAAAAAAAATCTCAGGCGTCAGTCATAATTACTCAATCTTTGGTGTTTTTTTTTCTTTTGAGTGCTGTGAGAATGGCATCCGTGCCAATTGGACGAGATGAAAACTGGCCTGGATATTGAGTCAATGGTGCGCTGGAGTGTTAAGTGGGGTAGTTTGGAGTAGTGTGTGTCGAGGACCTGTATATAGTATCCTGCTTATTTACTGTGTTTCATTATCCCCAGAAGAGAACACAGTGTCAGTCTTGTTCATTGTTTTACATTGTACTGTACAGTAGTATTATTTACACGTATGTTGTATTCATTAAGTTCACACCAAACGAATTTCTATGTTTAGCCTTGTTCTTAGTGTAGTGGTCTGTGCATGGTGTGTGGCATCCTGCTGAGATAAAGTGTGGTCGAGTTTATGAGAGTGAGGTGAGTGGGAGACATGGGATGAGTTAGGTAGAGTGGGGTGAGTGGGGAAACATGCAAGGAGTGGGACAGCGAGGAATAATATAGGAGAGAATTTGGGCCATATATATGATAACTATGGTCAGAAAAACTCGTCCTTGGCGACTAAGTACCCCGAAAAAAGTCGCCAATTATATTTTGTATCAAGAGGATTTACGATTTTGTCTATAAATTCGTAATTAAAATGCATCCGTTTGTATATTTATTGTGTACGGTTGAATTTGCTGTTGATGATGAGTTGTGATTAGGGTAAGAGAGAGAGAGAGAGCAGGGGCAAATTAGAAAGATTATCGGGGGAGGGGGGGTTTGTATCTCTTGTGATTTGACTAGCCAATGGGGTAATACAGTACCAATTGGCTTTACCAGGATGGAGTACAGTATAAATTTTCCACCACCCTGTAATGCTTATCGTGGCCACTACATGACGAATCATCTGAGTCGATCATAAGGTCATAAAGGAGCACTATTACAATGATGCGGTGTCATGTTTCGGAGTCACAGGTTGACGAGTTTCAGGGTTCATGGATGAGAGAGAGAGAGAGAGGATCTTTGTGTGTGTGTGTTTGTACAAGAGATAGTTTGAGGTTGATGTTGATTGATGTCACTCAGTATAAAGCATGATGAGGCTTGTCAGAAGTGTGAAAAATCATGGGTGGAATGTCCGAGACTTATGTAGTGAAAGAATAGGGAATGATTGGTGTGTACGGTGGAACAAGGAATGACGATGACGGTGATAGTCTCGGTAAGAAACAGAGTTCTTAAGCCTAGTGGGTAAAGTATTTATAATAAGGTGGTTTTTATTAATTTCTTTATTTATTTAGCATGAGTTTAAGTTTAGGAACATTTTCATATTAGTTTCCTAAATTTGTTATGAAAATATTTGTAATTTTTTATTTGTATATTTTTTTCATTATTTATTCGTTGTTTCTCTGTGGAGTATGTGAGCACCAGCACCACCATGTATGTGTAAATATAAATAAAATAAAGTAGTTAGTACAGTTTAATTATACTAGTTTGTGATATGATAATTTATGATGATATCTGTCGTTGAAGCTGACATTAAATACTAGTAATAATGTGTGCTAGAGAAACTGTGTACAGTATCTATATGTGTGGCCAGCAGGTAATGGAGCTAACAGACACCAACAAGACGTGGTGGTGACTGAGTGTGGTTATTCCGTCATATATATATATATATTGTTCAGTAGGCATGATGAGGCAAGTGCATAACCTAATTCTGTGCATTGATGTATAATACCATAGCATATTATTGTGTTGTTTTTTATCCTTTGTCATTAATACCTTATCTTGATTCCTCTTATAGGCTCAAAGGGCTTACATACCAGCTACAGTTTGCAGAACCTCAGTAAATATCTTTTTTTTTTTTCTTGTCTTGAGCACCATTTGATTTTTAAGTATCCAGAAAGCTTTCACACACATTTTGTATCATTTATGTGCATTGATTGTTATGCAGTTGGACATAGTTTAAAGTGATTTTGATATAAGTTTTTCAATTTGATGTATTTCAAAGCATTTTAGACTTCATGTGAATGGATTGTTTACAGTGTGTTGTGACAGAACTGTGTTGAGAACTCTATTTTTTGGACCATTTTTTTTTTTTTTTTTTAGTTTGACTCAATTTTATATCTTTCACAAAGTACACACTAAATGGAGAATGTCTCACCAACTGTTCTTTGCAATAGCGTGTGTCCGTGTGGTAATAAGAGTGCAATAACCCGCCCTCAGATGGCCACTGCCCAGAGCGCTACGTGGGTCGATATCGGCTCATGTCGGACTGTTCGGCCGCCCACCCGAATCATTACACGATGCCGGAGGGCCCTACATGACCCTAGCCCCCCTCACCACCACACATCCTGCTTCCCCATGACACAAACATGAACTACATCCCGTACGTTTTCTATCGCAGGTTTTTTTATTCCTTCGTGCTCAGTTGCACTGTTATTAGAATGTAGTTCCCAGTTCAGAATTTTGAGGCCATGTTTTTTATTGCCCTTTTTCTGCCTTATGGTGTCTGTCGTACTGTGACGTAGCTTGGTGCTGTACTGTGTTACTATCATCCACTTAGAAGAACTTTGTCTATAATTACCATACAAGGAAAGATGTGCAGAACAAGTCCTCAAAATATGGCCATAATTGACAGTTGATGGTTGACCAAGGCTTACAGTAGCTTGATGACCTCATGTTAGTACAAATGTAGAAGAGTTGTTTCACCTTTGAGCACAGTCACAAGTAGTTGTATGTGTGATATGTATTCTCACATCTGATTTATTATGATTTTTAGTGTTTGTATATACATATATATTTAAAGTGTATTGTGTACAGAGCCTAGCACCTGTTTTGTATAAAAGCACTTGTATACCTCACACAGAGCTTAGTCTAGTACTGTAGTAACCTTTGTCAGTTGACCATAGTAATGTTGTTTGATACACCAGAGAGCTGCATGTTGTCTGCTGGCTTGTGTATCTGTAAATATATTCCTCTACCACAGGATCATCCTCACTTAGAGAAAAGTTCCTCTTCCTTTTGCTTATTTATATTTTGTCATGGAATATATATATTTTTATTTTACCCTTTACTTTGTACTGTATACTATGATATTCTGTCTCTAAAGATAATTATGATAACCACTACTATACCTGCATTAATATACTGTAGTTATCATAATTACTGGTGACTTTTACACTAAAATAACATTCATTTATGTTAACAATGTCATTTTATCAGGGATGAATCTACACTAGCTACCACAAGTCTTTTCCAAGGAGTTACTTTTACTGTTCAATGCTTATGTACAGAATATGTTTGGCAAATGTGTACTAGCCTCCAGTCTGTCCTTGATTATCCACCAATTTTCCTTGATTATTCACAGTTTGTCCTTGATTATCCACTAAATTTCCTTGATTATCCATAGTTTGTCAAATACCTGTCCTGTACAATGCCACAATTACCTGGATGGTTTGATAGGTACTGTATATGAGTTCCCGCTGTTGACTAAAGAACGGCAGTGCTGGGTGTTCACGGTGATAGGGCGGGAATACCTGTGCACTGCCATCCAAAGTAGGTAAGCAAACAGTGACGTCAACAAAGGCAGGAGAGCTGTGTCGAAGATCTTTTGGCCAGTCTTCTCGGGGTTTTTTGTTTTGGCATCATCATCACTATCATCATTTCCATCATCTCAACTACAGTATCATCATCATTATCATCACTGTCATCATTACCATCATCATCATCACTTTTATATGGCTATTTTCCACTTGTCCTCATTCAGGGTGTCTCGTCAGTGTTTATTTTTGACTTCCATACAGTCTCTGACACCATGATAGGTAGACAGAATACAGTACACAATGATAAGAGATAAAAGAATGATAAAGAAGGTAGACAGAATACAGTACACAATGATAAGAGATAAAAGAATGATAAAGAAGGTAGAAGAAGTAGATTGTTCTGTAGGATATCACTCTGATGGAATGACATTGTTGGCTCATGCAGCATAGGTGTAGCATTATATGACTCAGGGAAATAACACTACTACTATTACTACTTTTACTACTACTACTACTAATTAATTAACATGTACTGTGTATGTTATGTTAATTTCCTCTATAAGATAATGTAAAAAAAAAAATTATAAAATGTCACATAATTTTCTTTTCCAGCAAATATAAGAAATGTGCTTAGATGACTTAATGATTGTATATAATAAGATATGTGTCCTAACGGAGACACTACTGTGCGTACACACCGTCACACATTAATGTCTCCTACTATTTTTAATCTTTGTGTCTGTCTGTCTTAATGTCCTGAATATATTCCGATTTTTTTTTTTATAAAACACGGTAACCCAACCCTGAAAAGAAATGAAGAGAAAAAGGCAAGTGATGTGAGGCAAGGCTGAATTATCTAGTATTTCATGTCAGTGTGGCTGGGGTGTAATGTTGACCAGGCCAGATAAGAAAGTAATACAGTTGTGTGATGTTGTCAGGGTTGAGTGTATACAGTGTCATGAGATGGTTTCTGCTGGACATATTTTATTTTTTGGTTGAACATATTTTTAAAAGTGGTTTTGTTTGGGGGGATTATTTTTATTTTATTAATGTTGATGGTCTTTGTTCATATGGTAATTTGACGGAAAATATGGAAAACTATTGATGGTAATGCCAGTAGTTTGTGGTTGAGTTTATTACACACACACACACACACACACTACACACACACACACACACACACACACACACACACTACACACACACACACACACACACACACACACACACACACACACACACACACACACACACACACACACACACACACACACACACACACACACACACACACACACACACACACACACACACACACACACACACACACACACACACACACTACACACACACACACTACCCACACCCACCACCCACCCACCACACCCACACACACACACACACACACACACACACACACACACACACACACACACACACACACACACACACACACACACACACACACACACACACACACACACACACACACACACACACACACACACACACACACACACACACACACACACACACACACACACACACACACACACACACACACACACACACACACACACACACACACACACACACACACACACACACACACACACACACACACACACACACACACACACACACACACACACACACACACACACACACACACACACACACACACCCACCCACCCACCCACCACCCACCCACCCACCCACCCACACCACACACACACACACACACACACACACACACACACACACACACACACACACACACCACCCACCCACCCACCCACCCACCACCCACCCACACCCACACACACACCACACACACACACACACACACACACACACACACACACACACACACACACACACAGAAGGTGCCAGAGTATGTTTAAATAGAAACACAATGTCTCCACAGGTCGTGAGTTACAGTAATATTGTCTCTCTTCCTATAACTTGTGCAAGAGAACACGAGAGTTGTGATACGTAGATATAATTTGTAAAACTCGGTACTATTGGATGTATAGGCATATATAGCATTACTATCTCTTGCCGTCTGTCTGTCGTGTACAGTACAGTGTGTGTGTCACTTTACCTTCACTGACTGGAGGAAGACTCTGCCCCTCAGAAAGATAATTATAGTACTGCTTCATATCATAAACTTGTGCTGTGATACTCAGGGTGATTTATTTATTTAGTTTATTTTTATTATTATATTTTTTTCCAGCCTATTTTAGTCTCTTCAGTTTTTGGGAAGTTTTATTATTAGAATCACCGGGAGATTTGGTCTAGGGTTGGGGGGGGGGGTGACACATGTTAATGGTCCCAGAGAAATAAAACACTGCTTAAAGAATTTACTTCTGCTTTATGAGATCAAATTTAATACTGTTAATGAGTTGTAGATCTTACAAAGAGATAAAAAGTAAATAAACTTTAAAATGGATGCCAGCGTTCTTCTCCCACTGCGGGTGATAGGGACAGTTTTAGGAATTTAAATTTCTAGTTATAAAATCACACACAAAAAAACTTAAAATATGGTATATTTCTTAATTTAACACCTTTTTTATATTTAATTCTACTGTAGAAAAAAATAATTTTGTTTATTTACCAGAAAAAATAGTTTGTTGGAAGTTGTCCATTTGCAAGTGTAACCGACCTGACAGAGACCATTTATTATTATTATCATTATTATTATTATTATTATTATTATTATTATTATTATTATTATTATTATTATTATTATTATTATGCTATTTCTTTAGTTATTATATATTTGCCGAGTCCAACACCAGAGGCTGTTTCTCATAACATTATAGCCACCATTAAGGGTAAGACTATGAAAAGGGAGGAGGGAGGGAGGGAGGGCACTAGGGGAGTATTTCTTGAACCTCCTCAAACAATAACACTACAGGTGGTCAGCATCACCCCACTCCTACATGTGTACTAGCCCCCCTCTCCTCTATAACTGGACCTTGGTCTAACTTAAAGCTATATGCTTCTTTTTTGGCTTTGTTTTTTTATTGTGTGTGTGTGTGTGTGTGTGTGTCTGTGTTTGTGTGTGTGTGTGTGTGTGTCTGTGTCTGTGTGTGTCTGTGTCTGTGTGTGTGTGTCTGTGTGTGTGTGTGTTCTAATGGGTTCATAATCTCAACCATACATGTGTGGTGTTTTAGAGAATATTGAATATTTCATTGTATAATATGGATGGAGTGTACAGTACTGGAAGGAGGAGTCATTTTCAGTTATG